GGTTGTGGACAGGTGTCTTTTATACTGATAACAAGTTCAAACAGGGGCCATTAATACAGGTAACGAGTGGAGGACAGAGGAGCCTCTTAAAGAAGAAGTTACAGGTCTGTGAGAGCCAGAAATCTTGCTTGTTTGTAGGTGACCAAATACTTATTTTCCACCATAATTTGCAAATAAATTCATTAAAAATCCTACAATGTGATTTTCTGGAGAAAAAAAATCTAAATTTGTCTGTCATAGTTGACGTGTACCTATGATGAAAATTACAGGCCTCTCTCATCGTTTTAAGTGGGAGAACTTGCACAATTGGTGGCTGACTAAATACTTTTTTCCCCCACTGTATGATGTTAAAGAGTGGTGAAGTTTCCCTTCAAAAGATCCTAAATGTTGCAGCTTGACACTTTTTCCTGTATGGTGGAGGTGTCCATAATTAACAACACACACACACACACACACACACACACACATTAGTGAAGTTTGAGTCCAGAGCTGTGTTTCTGAGCAGCTTACCACAGCCTGAGGGATTGGTTTGTTCTCTTCCTTCTCTCTTCCTTTGTTCCTTTCTTTCTTTCTTTCTCTGCCTAATATGATTTCTATCTCTCCTCCCCTCCTGTTCTCTGCTCCAAGCCCTGTCTAGACACTCACTATCTCCTCTGACATCATAGGGGGAAGCAATGTTTATTCCTCACCCCTCTTCATACCCAGGACCATACTGAACCCGAATGGCATCCTATTCCCTACACTCATTTAAAAAAAGGGATCCAAAAAAAGGTTATTCGGCTGTCCCCATAGGAGAACCCTTTTTGGTTCCATGTAAAACCCTTATTGGTTCCAGGTAGAATCCTTTTGGGTCCCATGTAGAACCCTCTGTAGAAAGGGTTCTACTGTACATGGAACCCAAAAGCGTTCTACCTGGAACCAAAATGGTTCTACCTGCAACCAAAAAAGGTTATTCAAAGGGTTCTCCTATGGGGACAGCCGAAGAACCCTTTAAGGTTCTAGTGAGCACCTTTTTGTCTAAGCGTGTATGTAGTGCTAAATACGATTTTTAGATGAGGTTTACCAGAGAAAGTTCTACAAATTATACAAAGATACTCATGAGTCACTCCAACAAAATTAATGTCATTATTTGAAATAACTGGCCATCATTTTGAACATCTTGGCTTTGAAAGAAGCCATCTTTAAGATGTCCACATGCACACAGCATTCTTGGAAGTGCTACGCTCACAGATACAGTGCATTCGGAAAGTACTCAGACCCCTTGACTTTTTCCACATTTTGTTACTTACAGCCTTATTATAAAATTGATTAAATCGTTTTTTCCCCCCCTCATCAATCTACACACTATACCCCGTAATGACAAAGCAAAAACAGGTTTTTAGAAATGTTGGCACATTTATTACAAATAAAAAACTGAAATCTCAGTACTTTGTTGAAGCACCTTTGGCAGCGATTACAGCCTCGAGTCTTCTTGGGTATGACGCTATAATCTTGGCACAACTGTATTTGGGGAGTTTCTCCCATTCTTCTCTGCAGATCCTCTCAAGCTCTGCAAGGTTGGATGAAGAGCGTCACTGCACAGCTATTTTCAGGTCTCTCCAGAGATGTTATATCGGGTTCAAGTCCGGGCTCTGGCTGGGCCACTCAAGGACATTCAGAGACCTGTCCCGAAGCCACTCCTGCATTTTCTTGGCTGTGTGCTTAGGGTCGTTGTCCTGTTGGAAGGTGAACCTTTGCCCCAGTCTGAGGACCTGAGCGCTCTAGAGCAGGTTTTCATCAAGGTTCTCTCTGTACTTTGCTCCATTCATCTAGTCTCCCAGTCCCTGTCGCTGAAAAACATCCCCACCATGCTTCACCGTATGGATGGTATTGGCCAGGAGAAAAGCAGCGCCTGGTTTCCTCCAGACGTGACGCTTGGCATTCAGGCCTAAGAGTTCAATCTTGGTTTCATCAGACCAGATAATATTTTTTCTCATGGTCTGAGAGTCCTTTAGGTGCCTTTTGGCAAACTCCTAGCAGGCTGTCATGTGCCTTTTACTGAGGAGTGGCTTCTGTCTGGCCACTCTACCATAAAGGCCTGATTGGTGGAGTGCTGCAGGGATGGTTGTCCTTCTGGAAGTTTCTCCCATCTCTACAGAGGAACTCTGGAGCTCTGTCAGAGTGACCATTGGGTTCTTGGTCACCTCCCTGACCAAGGCCCTTCTCCCCTGATTGCTCAGTTTGGCCAGGCGGCCAGCTCTAGGAAGAGTCTTGGTGGTTCCAAACTTCTTCCATTTAAGAATGATGGAGGCCACTGTGTTCTTGGGGACCTTCAATACTGCAGAAATGTTTTCGTACCCTTTCCCAGATCTGTGCCTCAACATAATCCTGTCTCGGTGCTCTACGGACAATTCCTTCGACCTCATGGCTTGGTTTTTGCTCTGACAGGCACTGTCAACTGTGGGACCTTATATATACACACAGGTATGTGCCTTTCCAAATCATGTCCAATTGAATTTACCACAGGTGGACTCCAAACAAGTTGTAGGAACATCTCAAGGATGATCAATGGAAACAGAATGCACCTGAGCTCAATTTCGAGTCTCATAGCAAAGAGTCTGAATACTTATGTAAATAAAGTATTTTTTTTTAAATATTTGCAAACATTTCAAAAATCCTGTTTTTCCTTTGTCATTATGGGGTATTGTGTGTAGATTCATGAGGGACATTTTTAATGTAATACATTTTATAATAAGGCTGTAATGTAACAAAATGTGGAAAAAGTCAAGGGGTCTGAATACTTTGTACATTTGTATTCCACACATCATACTAATACCAAGGAGGCCTACCATTGAGACAGATGGCACCATGCCATTTCAGTTCAAACTCATCGCCGACCAGCATAATCCCCTTGGAGGGGGTTACGCAGATTATCTCTGATATTGCTGTCTGCTTGAGTTCAAGATGCCAGAGACTAGAAGTAATAAAAATAACATTTTGTTGCAATGTGCAACACATACACTACCGTTCAAGTGGTCCATTTCTCTCTCACACACACACAGGAAGTGAATCAGAGAGTGGGGGGGGGGGGGGGGGGGGCTTTCTGTCAAAAGGATGGGACATAAACGACAGTGAGCTAGCCAAGCCCAGCAGGCTCTCTCTCTGTGTGTCTGTGAAAGGGAAACGGTCTGCGTGGAACCCAGCTGAACCAGCTAAAGCCCGGACCTTAAAGGGACCGTTCACCCCCTGAAATTACAGTTAAATTGTCATAACTCTCAAAAGTGGTCTAAAGTCTGCAGGCCACAATTCCAATGAATGGGAGTTGGAGGTTTGACGACAAGCTTTAATTCAGGCGTGAATTATTTACACTCATTTTGGTGTGAAATTATGGTCATTTTCTGACCATTTCTACACTGAAAAAGAATATATTCGCAACATGTAAAGTATTGGTCCCATGTTTCATGAGCTGAAATAAAAAGATCCCAGACATTTTCCATACGCACAAAAACCTTATTTCTCTCAAATTTTGTGCACAAATTTGTTTACATCGCTGTTAGTGAGCATTTCTCCTTTGTCAAGATAATCCATCCACCTGACAGGTGTGGCATATCAAGAAGCAGCATGATCATTACACAAGTGCACCTTGTGCTTGGGACAGTAAAAAGGCCACTCCAAAATCTGCAGTTGTGTTAAACAACACAATGCCTCAGATGTCTCAAGTTTTGAAGGAGCGTGCAATTGGCATGCTGACTGCATGAATGTCCACCAGAGCTGTTGCCAGAGAATTGAATGTTCATTTCTCGTGTTAGAGAACTTGGCATTATGTCCAACTGGCCTCACAACCGCAGACCACATGTATGGCGTCGTGTGGGCGAGCGGTTTGCTGATGTCCACATTGTGGACAGAGTGCCCCATGGTGGCGGTGGGGTTATGGTATGGGCAGGCATAAGCAACAGACAACGAACACAATTGCATATTTATCGATGGCAATTTGAATGCACAGAGATACCGTTATGAAATCCTGAGGCCCATTGTAGTGCAATTCATCCGCCTCCATCACCTCATGTTTCAGCATGTCACAAGGATCTGTACACAATAGCTGAAAATGTCCCAGTTCTTCCATGGCCTGCGTACTCACCAGACATGTCACCCATTGAGCATGTTAGGGATGCTCTGGATCGAAGTGTACGACAGCATGTTCCAGGTCCCGCCGATATCCAGCAACTTCGCACAGGCCTTGAAGAGGAGTGGGACAACATTGATCAACTTTATGCGAGGGAGATGTGTTGTGCTGTGTGAGGCAAATGGTGGACACACCAGATACTAACTGGTTTTCTGATCCACACCCCTACCTTTTATAAAAGGTATCTATGACCAACAGATGTATATCTATATTCCCAGTCATGTGAAATTCATAGATTAGGTTCTATTTCATTTATTTATATTGACTGATTTCCTTATATGAACTGTAACTCAGTAAAATCTTAGAAATTGTTGCGTTTATATTTCTGTTCAGTATATTTTCGTTTTTTCCCCCTCAATGGGATATGGGGGTTTGCCTTATTAGATATTAGTTGTTATGTTGTATCTTTCTGATGCCTCGACTCGAGACCCATCATTGTAGTCGCTCATTGGTCAGCTGAATATAAGGTGTGGTCTTGGTAGAAGATGTTGCGCTCTTTGGCAAATCAATTGAGTAGCCAAAGCAATTCGCTCATCGAAAAACACCATTCCATTCTTGGGTGGGAACATCAAGAAAACGTGCAAGTTAATCAAATTCAACCTGTGGAGGAATCAACGACTTCTGCGATGTGAATTTTGGGGAATTAAATCCGTGAGAAGCGTGAAAAGGAAAAATCAACAGAACTTAACCATTAAGAAGCACACCAGTTGAAGTTTACATGAAAGTTCTAGAGAAAAACGACAATGACAGTCATATTCTGCCGCACCAATTCGCCATATGGATAGAGCACGCGCCTCTTTAGTTTGTTTGTAGCGGTTGTGGATTATTATGAGGCGTCATGGCGTGGTGTGACCGTGGGTGTCAGATACTGCTGACCATCGTGGGCGCTTTTACAGCTTTCAGTCTGATGACAATAGCTATTGGGACCGACTACTGGCTCTATTCTCGGGCGTACATATGTAACGCCACCAATGTCACCACGGACGACATGCAACCCAAGAAAACTAGAGGCGACCTGACGCACTCCGGGCTGTGGCGGATTTGTTGTATAGAAGGTACTTTGTCAGCTTTCTGGTGTATTCTTTTGAGGTTTTTGCATTTGGTTAATACAGGAAAGTATCTGATAAATGAATAATTAAAGTGCGTAAAAGTAGCACATGTTTAGTTTGTGGCACCAGTTTTTAGTTAGTATAGTGTATTATGATACGACTTTGTGTGTTGGGGGCGTTTGAGGAATCACTTAGGTGACAAAACCTTTTTGTCTACACTGAAATAAACTGTCCATGCACAGAGTGAAAAGTTGTTAGAGCGTTTGATAGAACGCGAAGCGCAGCTGGAGGTGTAGGCTACTCGTACACGTCAACTCAGTGATTGTGGGCGCGTTATACCATTATGTATCCCTGTGCGTAATGCAATGTAGTAGGCCTACTTGATATTTTTGCTTCGGATATGACGTTGCCTTGTTACCATATACTGTACATGCATAATGCACGGCTGTATGGAAGTGTGCAATAAAACTAATTCATAGCCTACTCAACCCGTTTATAATCAATGGCTTTCTTTTAGGAGTGCAAAACTACGAGTTCAACTTCAGACTTTTTAGATGCACTTCTCCAAACGGTGGTTCTTTGTCCATCCAGTTCAGTGTATGTGATGCTGTTGCTTGGCAACTACACCTAAGAAATTGCTATGGAAACATGAGTGAGATTTAGAAATAGAGCTATCTGCAAATACGTTTATAAGTGTATGTTTTTCACCAACAAGAGATGGAACGAATAGATAAGTTACTTTGCTAAGAGAGTTGCACAGCAATGAAAGATTCAGTCAACTTAATTTATATTGTCTACCCATTTGAGGCAGGTGCTGAGCATTGTATCTATCGATACATCTTAATCAATACGATCAATCCGTTAAGTGGTATCACATCCAGATCAATATAGCATCTAAATGACATAATGGATAATTAATCGATGTTGGATCTCTACTTTTCCCCACCAAACCCCAGTCATTTACTCATCTCAATTGAAGTAGCCACTAGCCAGCTCTTCCATATTACTTGCGTCACTGGCTAAATCAACTACGTTAATAAATATGCAGCAGCTAACCGCTGTAGTGTTGAGATTAATAAATTGTTCTCCAGCGAACTGCAAGCGAACTGAAGTGCACTTAAGTAAATTGGCCAGGGGAAAGATGGACACTTTCACTTAACATTTTCCTTATCAAACCTTGCTATATGATACAAAAGCGATTTGTTAGGTAAATGTTACTTGGCCTTATTTCTTCTGTAGGCTAGCAAGTGAAGCATTGAGTAAAAGGCGTTTCTTCAAAGTCGAATCAAGTGCGCATGAAGTTGCTAAAAATCGAGCCTGCTGGTTTGGTGCTGTCCATTGTGCGTGGTGCTGAAACGTGTCTTCACAAAGCGCAGCGGAAAGCGATGACTCCCTTGAGAGAATATTAACGCCACTGGAGAAGACCATTTCAACTTCCACAGTCAATATGTTTTGAGTAACAGCATGAATTACAAGCTACAGACTGATAAGTTACATTATTCAGTGGCAAAGAAGAATACTAACACACACACACACACACAGAACGAGAGAGAGAGAGAGCAAGAGAGAGAGTGCGAGAAGCCAAGTTTGACAAAAAATAAAATTCTCCCTCATTGCTATTCCATGCATGTCCACAGCTAGGCAACACAATGTCAAGTGTCAACATTACCCAAAATCCTCTTTCCATTTCTCCACCCTTTGTACTTTTCCATACCTTTTCTCCAACCCCAATCATGACATAACATATATGTAGCCGACTATAACTTACTAAATTGGCCTCACACTGCTCTCCTCTTTAACGAAGTGTTCCAAATGGAAAGCTCTTTATTTAGTGCCTTGTAAAACAAAATGTTCTTCGCTGCGGGAGAGCACAAGGGAGGCTTTTAAGACGCGCACGGAACGACTTGAGTCTTGTTCCCAACTCGCCTTAAAATCAAACAAGAACTCCCACTTAACCAGCGCTTCCCTCCTGCGTTTCTCTCTATGTCGACGGGAGACGAGATGACGCACTTAATAGTGAGAGAGAGCGACAAAGTGGGAGGGGTCTTAGTTCCTTCTTAGTGGATAGACACCTGTTGAATGACTATCAATCTCTCTTTCAGATGAGTTCTTTCTTTGTGTTATTGAATGGCTTTTGATTTTGAATAGCTATTGTTGCTTGCCAGACTGAATAAGAAAGACTTCTTGATGATCATGAGGAAGATGCATGGGTCTTGTTGGTTGTTTTGTTCTGTGAGGTAACTGTTGAATTATGTTTGTAATAAGCAAAAGGGGGTTTGTGAGAGACTGTTTATAGCTAGCAAAACACATTTTTGAGGTTTAAAAACATTGTGTTGTGGTTTTTGTATATGCATGTGCATGAGCACGCGCACCAGTCCCTGTATGAATGCATTAGTAAGATGTGAAAGGGCTCCTCTGAGATGTAGGCATGAAATGTGCTTTTTGGGCACCAGGAGGAGGTTGCCATGGCAAAGCTATGCTGAGTAATAAAGGATGCACTGTTGTCTCGCAAGCAAACAGACTTGGTGTCCACTAGTTACCACAGCCACAAAGTCAAAATTGGCTATATTGTAAAAATTTAGTTCTGGTCTTAATTTAAGATTAGGCATAATGTTAGCAGTGAGGTTAAGGTTATTGTTAGATTCAAGATCACATTTTAAGAAGAGAAATAGAAGGGTTTATGACTCTGGTAACTTGTGTCGACCGACCGACAGACAGGGGAGAAAGAAAGTCTCTCTCTCTCTCTCTCTCTCTCTCTCTCTCTCTCTCTCTCTCTGCAATTTGAGATCAGCTTGGCCGGGATTCAATCAAAGACACACTGTCAACAAACGCATTGCACTTGACTTTTAAATGTAATTTACACCTGAGCTGACATCCACATCGTTTACTGTCAATGTCACATCTATGAACATCAGGGAAATTGTCTTTAAAAGTTTACATTTATGGCATGACTGCTATTGGGGGTACTCACCTCAGAGCCTGCAGGTCCAAGACTACTGCTCGTTTCCCTTTTCCGTGGTACTAGTTTTGATTGTTTAAAATAAAATGTAATTTGTCACATGCGCCGAATGCAACAGGTGTAGACTTTACCGCAAAATGCTTACTTACGAACCCTTTCCCAACAACGCAGTTAAAAAGTACAAAAATTAGCTAATAAAAATATAAAATAGTAACAGTATAACAATAATGATGCTATATACAAGGAGTACCGGTATCGAGTCAATGTGCTGGGGTATGAGGTAGTTGAGGTAATATGTACTGTAGGTAGGGGTAAAAGTGACTAGGCAATCAGGATAGATAATAAACAGAGTAGCAGCAGCGTATGTGGAGAGTGTGTTTTGTTTGTGTGAGCATATGTAGTGTGTGTTGGAGTGTCAGTGTAAGCATGTGTGAATGTGGGGGTAGATTCCAGTGAGTGTGCATAGAGTCAATGCAGTAGTCCGGGTAGCCAATTAAAGTCACTGATTGGCCATAGATTCCACTCACCTGGTGTCCTGAATCAGTTCCTGATTAGAGGGGAAGAATAACAATCAGCAGTGTCTTGGAGATACCAATCATAGAAATAGAATCAACACACACAGACCAATAAACCACTTAAAAGACATGTTTACATAACTATCGTCTCTCATAAATGATTGATATCTGTTTTAGAGTGAATTAAGTCAGAGCGTGAAGTAAGTCCCTGTTCATTCGCATACTTGACTTGAGTTCCCAACCTCTGGGTGAGGCAGCAATTTCAGTGGAAAGTGAGAAACGTTTCAATATTCATGTCATCCCCATGTTTTATTCTCTTAAAAGTGCAGAGAACATTTTCTTAACCAAGAGTCAAACTCTTTGAATGGAAGGTGCCTTAGGGCTGAAAAACATCAGAACTCTTTTGTGGGTGTGCAGACTGACGTTCCTGTCCTCAGTTGGTTTCAAATATGGGGGTGAAACTAAGCTCGCTACGTCTAGGGGTCCTAGGTCTACCTAAATTGTCCATAATCTGATATAAATGTGTTCATTTCACGTGAGAAGTCAGTTAAGCAATGCATGTGTCCTTATGGCAGACAGTGTACTCGGCAGGGTCCAGGGTAAGCTTGGTCCGCCAGGCCAAGCAGGTTATCAATGTTCATGAAAAGAAACAATCAATCAATCAAATGTATTTATAAAGCCCTTTTTACATCAGCAGATGTCACAAAATGCTATACAGAAACCCAGCCTAAAACCCCAAACAGCAAGCAATGCAGATGTAGAAGCATGGTGGCTAGGAAAAACTCCCTAGAAAGGCAGGAACCTAGGAAGAAACCTGGAGAGGAACCAGGCTCTGAGGGTTGGCCAGTCCTCTTCTGACTGTGCCGGGTGGAGATTATAGGAGTACATGGCCATTTAAGGCCATATTGTTCTTCAAGATGATTCAATGTTCATAGATGACCCGCAGGGTCAAATAATAATCACGGTGGTTGTAGAGGGCGTAACAGGTCAGTACCTCAGGAGTAAATTTACATTTAAAATGTAAATGTAAATGTCAGTTGGCTTTTTATAGCCGAGCATTCAGAGGTCGAGACAGCAGGTGCGGTAGAGAGAGAGAAAGAGTCAAAAACAGCAGGTCCGGGACAAGGTAGCATGTCCGGTGAACAGGTCAGGGTTCCCTAGCCACAGGCAGAACAGTTGAAACTGGAGCAGCAGCATGACCAGGTGGACTGGGGACAGCCAGGAGTCATCAGGCCAGGTAGTCCTGAGACATGGTCCTAGGGCTCAGGTCCTCCTGGGGGGGAAGGAGAGAGGGAGAGAGAGAGAATTAGAGGGAGCATACTTAAATTCACACACGGGCATATCAAATGAAAAGTGTCCAAGCAAACACAGGAAAATGCTTCCGGGATGGGAGGCTACTCAATTTACCTCTCACTCCACCATTTACTGTCAATAACTTGCACCTACCTGTAAGCAAGGGTTGGAACCGGTTCAGAACAGAAAACCAGAAAATACATTTGTAGTAACAGAATCAGAACCGGGAACGAAAGTGATATATACTGTGCCGGAACAGAACCGTTATTTTAAAAGCATGGGAACCAGTTAATAATGTTAATTTTACAGCTTCTACCCCCAAGCCATAAGACTGCTGAACATTGAATCAAATGGCCACCCAGACTATCTGCATTGACACCCCCTTTTGTTTTTACACTGCTGCTCTATCCGCACTGATTGGTGAAGTAATTTAATGTCGAACTAAATGTAAACATTTCAGAGGTTTAAAAAGGAACAGAAAGGAAGAATATAAACCGTTACTTTTTTGGGGGTCGAACCAGTTCAGAACTTTATTTTGCAGGTTGGAACAGGCAGGTTCCAACCCCTGCCTGTGAGCAATCACTCTTTCTTAACCCTGTTGGCACTTAAAAGGACCTAGCCTGGCCACTGCTGCCCCTAGTGGTGGGATGTGTATATTGAAAATGGACTGTCTAACTGTGTACACTAACCGCTAGAATACCTAATTTCCTAGCAGTGATAGAAAATGTCCCTTGCAGATTGAGAATCCTTTTAAATAAATGAATAATTCACAGGTTAAATTATTTGTTTTGTATGGTAATCAGTGGGGTAACAACAAAATAATCAGCATTATAATAGGCATCTCTTGTTTGGCAATCAATTTGTATTGTCATTTTTAATTACGACAATTAAGCAACCCCAATGTACGGTAAATATGCAATCTCTAAGACTTAGTGAGTGCCTTTACAGCTCAACACAGAAGTGCATTGAGTATTGTGAACCATTTTAGCTTCACTTCCTCTGTGACATGTCATGAGGCATAATATATTTTTCTAATGTGCAGACATTGTTCATGTATAACCATTGTTGAATTAGTATAGTGTTGTTGTATAGTGTTCTCTCAACTCTCACTTACCTTACCTGCTACGCCCCCTATGGACATTATTTATCCTGCTGCTCCCCTGCATGTTGGAGTTCGAAGCCTAAGTTTTTCACTGTACCTTGCAGTCACACCTGCAACCCTGTACATGTGAATATTAAACAATCTGAATCTATGCTCTATTGGAGTTAACACATACAGTACCAGTCAAACGTTTGGAAACACCTACTCATTCCAGGGTTTTTCTTTATTTTTACTATTTTCTACATTGTAGAATAATAGTGAAGACATCAAAACTATGAAATAACACATATGGAATCATGTAGTAACCAAATAATTGTTAAACAAATCAAAATTGATTTTATATTTGAGATTTTTCAAATAGCCACCCTTTGCCTTGATGACAGCTTTGCACACTCTTGGCATTCTCTCAACCAGCTTCATGAGGTAGTCACCTGGAATGCATTTCAATGAACAGGTGTGCCTTGTTAAAAGTTAATTTGTGGAATTTCTTTCCTTCTTAATGCGTTTGAGTCAATCAGTTGTGTTGTGACCAGGTAGGGGGAGGGGGGGGGGGGGGGGGGGGGGGGTATACAGAAGATAGCCCTATTTGGTAAAAGACCAAGTCCATATTATGGCAAGAACATCAGTACTTTAAGACATGAAGGTCAGTCAATGCGGAACATTTCAAGAACTTTGAAAGTTTCTTCAAGTGCAGTCGCAAAAACCATCAAGTGCAATGATGAAACTGGCTCTCATGAGGACCACCACAGGAATGGAAGACCCAGAGTTACCTCTGCTGCAGAGGATAAGTTCATTAGAGTTACCAGCCTCAGAAATTGCAGCCCAATAAATGCTTCACAGTGTTCAAGTAACAGACACATCTCAACATCAACTGTTCAGAGGGGACTGTGTGAATCAGGCCTTCATGGTCGAATTGCTGAAAAGAAACCACTACTAAAGGACACCAATAATAAGAAGAGACCTGCTTGGGCCAAGAAACACGAGCAATGGACATTAGACCGGTGGAAATGTCTCCTTTGGTCTGGAGTCCACATTGGAGATTATTGGTTCCAACCGCCGTGTCTTTGTGAGACTGTCTGTGATTTATTTAGAATTCAAGGCACACTTAACCAGCATGGCTACCAGAGCATTCTACAGCGCTACACCATCCCATCTGGTTTGGGCTTAGTGGGACTATAATTTGTTTTTCAACAGGACAATGACCCAACACACCTCCAGGCTGTGTAAGGGCTATTTTACCAAGACAGAGAGTGATGGAGTGCTGCATCAGATGACCTGGCCTCCACAATCCCCTGACCTCAATCCAATTGAGATGGTTTGGGATGAGTCGGACCACAGAGTAAAGGACAACAAGTGCTCAGCATATGTGGGAACTCCTTCAAGACTGTTGGAAAAGCATTCCAGGTGAAGCTGGCTGAGAGAATGCCAAGAGTGTGCAAAAATGTCATCAAGGCAAAGGGTGGCTATTTGAAGAATCTCAAATATAAAATATATTTTGATTTGTTTAACACTTTTTTGTTTACTACATGATTCCATATGTGTTATTTCATAGTTTTGATGTCTTCACTATTATTCTACAATGTAAAAAAAATAGTAAAAATAAAGAAAAACCCTTGAATTAGTAGGTGCGTGTCACGCCCTGGCTCTGGGGACTCTTAAAAGTTGAGCCAGGGTGTGTAGTGTCTATGTTGTAGTTTCTACGTTTTTTGTTCTAGCTCGTGTTTTCTATGTTGGCCAGGGTGGTTCCCAATCAGAGGCAGCTGATTCTCGTTGTCTCTGATTGGGAACCATACTTAGGCAGCCTGTTTTGCACAGTTGATTGTGGGATCTTGTTCTGTATAGGTTTGTGTTGGTGAACCTTTAGACTTCACGTATCGTTTTGTTCATGTTGGAAAGTACTCATTAAAAGATGTACGCCTATCACGCTGCGCCTTGGTCTGCCTCTTACAACGATCGTGACAGTGTGTCCAAAGTTTTAACTGGTAGTGTATATATATAAAAAATCATTAGCCATGTTTCAAATGTCCACTAACCTGCATGAGCTGGAATCCACTTCTCGACCCTTCTCTGTGAAGTGTGCACTGTTTTATAACAGACTTTCTGTGGTTCTTTTGACTCCACAGGAATCTACAAAGGAAGCTGTCTTCGGATCAATCACTTCCCAGAAGATAACAACTATGACACAGACAGCTCGGAATACATCTTACGTAAGTGCTTGTCTCCCGCCATCACATCCGGATGTCTTTTCATCCTTTGTCATCGTGTGTAAAGCACACAATGCCCATAGATACACAATGGTTGCCCATAGATACTCAATGGTTGCCCATAGATACTCAATGGTAGCCAGTGGACATGGGGTGCTTTATCTGTCATAACTCTCTTGGCCCTGGCCCATAACAGCATGATGTCATGAGAGTAATTGGAGCTATGTAGAGACAGACTGTGATGGCATAAGTCCTGGGTTGATATAGAGCCATCAGTGGTGAAGAAATTACCCAATTTTCATACTTGAGTAAAAGTAAAGTTACGTAAATAGAAAATGACTCAAGTAAAAGTGAAAGTCACCCAGTAAAATACTACTTGAGTAAAAGTCTAAAAGTATTTGGTTTTAAATATACTTAAGTATCAAAAGTAAATGTATAAATAATTTCAAATTCCTTATATTAAGCAAACTATTTTTTTTACAGATAGACAGGCGCACACTCCAACATTGACATAATTTACATAAGTTAGGGAGTCCGCCAGATCAGATGCAGTAGGGGTTACCAGGGATTTTCTCTTGATAAGTGTGTGAATTGGACTAGTTCCCTGTTTTGCTAAGCATTCAAAATGTAACGAGTACTTTTGGGTGTCAGGGAAAATCAATGGAGTAAAAAGTACGTTATTTTCTTTAGGAATGTAGTGGAGTAAATGTTGTCCAAATACCCCAAAAAACGACTTAAGTAAAAATGCTTTAAAGTACTACTTAAGTACTTTACACCACTGAGAGCTGTGTTTAAGAGTGGTGTGAGTAAGCAGAGGGTGTCTCCAGTATGACTGATAGAGGGTGTGCTAACCGCTGCTAGCACTCTGCCTGCTGTGTATTGGCAACACCCTTACAAAAATAAATGTATAAAACGATGCTGTCATTTTTATAGAACTAAGAAAAAAGGGCTTGTGTCATAGTTTTATTTAACTTTTAAAAAATAAACTTCAAAACTGTGTGTTAGTGACGATGCTAAAATGTTCTAGTCCTTTACATGTGTTGGCTACATGCATGTAAAGCAATAGCAGCCAAAATGGTGCACACTTCTCTGTACATCCATAATGGATTGACACCAGAAAATGCACAGATAGTGAGTTAGTGACGATGCTAAATGTGCTAATGCTGTAAACATGCTAATCATCCTAAACATACTAATGTTGTAGTCATGCTAACATTGTAAACATGCTAACCATCCTAACTGCTATGTACTACACAGGTATAGTGCGGGCCTCCAGCCTCTTCCCAATCCTGAGCAACATCTTGTTGTTGCTGGGAGGACTGTGTGCCGGGGCTGGGAGGATCTACAGCAATAGGAACAACATCCTGCTCAGCGCCGGCATCCTGTTTGTGGCTGCAGGTAGGTGGCATCACACAGCTATTGACAATATTGCAATGGCGAATCCCTGCATATTTAGCATTGCCTTTCAGTTGACATTACCCACTAATTTATGTTTACATATACTGTATAGATTTTTGAAAACACTAAGCTACTATATGGGCAAAGCCCTACAAGTCCACCTCTCAGTTCTACCTCTTTCTCTATGTATCTCCTCAGGTCTAAGCAACATCATCGGCATCATCGTCTACATCTCCAGTAATGCCGGTGACCCCAGCGACAAGAAGGACGAGGACAATAAGGCCAGCTATGGATACGGCTGGTCTTTCTACTTCGGAGCTCTGTCCTTCATCGTGGCCGAGTCCGTCGGCGTTCTCGCTGTCAACATCTACATCGAGAAGAACAAGGAAACGCGGTGCCGGGCGAGGCGTGAGTTCATCAAGACCACCTCGTCCAGCTCGCCCTACTCCCGTATCCCTAGTTACCGTTACCGGCGGCGACGCTCCCGTTCTAGTTCCCGCTCCACCGACCCGTCCCGAGAGACCTCACCCGTTGGGGTGAAGATGGGAGGAGGAGGGGGAGCAGGCATAGGAAGTGGAGCAAGCTTTGGGATGCCCATGGGTGGGATCTCCATGTACGCCCTCAGTAGGGACTCTATGAAAAGTGGGATAGCTGGGTACTGTAGTCCAGAGCGTGACACAAGCTTCCTGCAGGTCCACAACTGCTTCCAGAAAGATCTGAAGGAGGGTGTGAACAGGAGAACGACACCCGTATGAGCGTTGGAATGCATCTCTAAACTTGGTAGGATACAGGAGACTTCACAAAACTGTAAAGGAAACAGTTGGACAGCACAGGATCCAGGATCATTGTGGCAACTACAATACCCAGACTATCTTCCATGTTGAAAGGTCATAGTTCATATGATGGAGTGTGTCTTTTCTTTCGTATAACACATTTCAGTCTGTCTTTGTTTGGATGTGGAGGAGAAACTTTGGTAAAGCTACTATAAATGAACTTATGTAATAAGTTCATTTACAAAAAGACTACAGAAACCCAGACCTTTAGTAGCAATGCTTTTGTTATACAAAAAAAGTGTTTCGCATATCCCACAACAAATGGTCGTCATATCTTGTTGTTTTGATGTTGTTAAGTGATAACTCACTGGAGGGGTTTGATTTTGCCATTGCAACTGGTGCTATACACTTTCAACAACTTTGAATATTCTGATTACACTCTTAGAAAAAAGGGTTCTTCGGCTGTCCCTATAGGAGAACCCTTTTTGGTTCCAGGTAGAACCCCATGTGGAAAGGGTTCTATACTGAACAAAAATGTGAACGCAACATGTAAAGTATTGGTCCCATGTTTCACGAGCTGAAATAAAAGATCCCAGAAATGTTCCATAAGCACAAAAACCTTATTTCTCAAATGTTGTGCACAAATTTGTTTACATTCCTGTTAGTAAACATTTCTCCTTTGCCAAGATAATCCATCTACCTGACAGGTGGGGCATATCAAGAAGCTGATTAAACAGCATGATCATTACACATGCGCACCTTGTGCTGGGGACAATAAAAGGCCACTCTAAAATGTGCAGTTTTGTCAAACAACACAATGCCAAAGATGTCTCAAGTTTTGAGGGAGCGTGCAATTGACATGCTGACTGCAGGAATGTCCACCAGAGCTGTTGCTAGAGAATTTAATGTTCATTTCTCTACCATAAGCCGCCTCATACGTCGTTTTAGAGAATTTGGCAGTACGTCCAACCGGCCTCACAACTGCAGACCACGTGTAACTACGCCAGCCCATGACCTGCACATCCGGCTTCTTCATCTGCGGGATCGTCTGAGACCAGCCATCCAGACAGCTGATGAAACAGGAGTATTTCTGTCTGTAATAAAAACCTTTTGTGGGGAAAAACTCATTCTGATTGGCTGGGCCTGGCTCCCCAGTGGGTGGGCCTGGCTCCCTAGTGAGTGGGCCTATGCCCTCCCAGGCCAACCCATGGCTGCACCCCATTCATGTGAAATCCATAGATTAGGACCTAATTTATTTATTTAAATTCACTGATTTCCTTATATGAACTCTAACTCAATAAAATCGTTGAAATTGTTGCATGTTGCGTTTATATTTTTGTTTAGTATACATGAATCCCAAAAGGGTTCTACCTGGAACTAAAAAGGGTTATTCAAAGGGTTCTGTGATGCGTGTGATAGAAGTCAGGCGCAGGAGAGTAATATGCATCCAAAGAGTTTATTCTGTCGATAAACAGTTGCGCAAGCATGTGACAACAAAACTCAGGCACAGGGGAAATATCTACCCTGGCAACAACAAGGTCAGGGTAGCTCAACCGAACTACACACAGCTCACTACAAACAATCACCCACACAGACAAGGAAGCAGAGGGAACCCTTATACAATGACTAATTGGGGATAAGAACCAGGTGTGTGTGATTAATTAGACAAGTGGAGTGATGATAAATGGATCGGCAGCAGCTAGTAAGCCGGTGACGACGAACGCCAAAACCTGCCCGAACAAGAAGGGGAGGCAGCCTTGGCGGAATTCGTGACAGTACCCCCCCTTGACGCGCGGCTCCTCTGGGACGGCCAGGAGGACGCGGAGCAGGGCGAGCCGGATGGCGACGGTGGAAATCCCATAACATGGAGGGATTGAGGATATCCCTCACTGGAACTCAGCACCGTTCCTCCGGACCGTACCCCTCCCACTCCACGAGGTACTGAAGGCCCCCCACCCGACGCCTCGAATCCAGGATGGAACGGACCGAGTACGCCAGGGCCCTCTCGATGTCCAGAGGAGGTGGAGGGACCTCCCACACCTCAGACTCCTGGAGCGGACCAGCTACCACCGGCCTGAGGAGAGACACATGAAACGAGGGGTTAATACGGAAATCAGGGGGAAGTAATAACCTATATGTGACCTCGTTGACTCTCCTCAGGACTTTGAACGGTCCCACAAACCTCGGGCTCAGCTTCCGGCAGGGCAGGCGGAGGGGCAGATTCCGGGTCGAGAGCCAGACCCGATCCCCCGGTACAAAGACGGGGGCCTCACTGCGGTGGCGGTCAGCGTTGGCCTTCTGACGACGCACAGCACATTGGAGGTGAACGTGGGCAGCATCCCATGTCTCCTCCGCACGCCGAAACCAGTCATCCACTGCAGGAGCCTCGGTCTGGCTCTGGTGCCACAGTGCCAGAACCGGTTGGTAACCTAGAACACACTGGAAAGGCATTAGGTTAGTGGAGGTATCGAGTTCTGGGCATATTCTGCCCATGGCAAGAACACCGACCACTCCCCCGGCCAGTCCTGGCAGTAGGACCGCAGGAACCTACCCACGTCCTGATTTACCCGTTCCACCTGCCCATTACTCTCGGGGTGGAACCCAGAGGTCAGGCTGACCGAGACCACCAGACGTTCCATGAACGCCTTCCAGACCTTGGATGTGAACTGGGGACCTGAGTCAGACACTATATCTTCTGGTACCCCGTAGTGCCTGAAGACGTGAGTAAACAGGGCCTCCGCAGTCTGCAGGGCCGTGGGGAGACCGGGCAGAGGAAGGAGGCAGCAGGACTTTGAGAAGCGGTCCACAACGACCAGGATGGTGGTGTTACCTTGGCAGAGGGGAAGATCAGTCAGAAAATCAATGCTAAGGTGAGACCATGGTCGTTGTGGAACTGGTAATGGTTGTAGCTTATCCGCTGGGAGGTACCTAGGTGCATTACTCTGGGCGCACACCGAGCAGGAGGAGACGTACACCCTCACGTCCTTAGCCAAGGTAGGCCACCAGTACTTTCCGCTCAGGCAGCGCACTGTCCGACCGATACCTGGGTGACCAGAGGAGGGTGACGTGTGTGCCCAGAAGATCAGACGATCACGGATAAGAGCAGGCACGTACTGCAGCCCACCTGTACACTGCGGTGGAGATGGATCTGTGCGTAATGCCTGCTCTATATCCACGTCCATCGCCCATACTACCGGCGCCACAATGCGGGAGGCCGGGAGTATGGTGGTGTTGTCTCTGGGCCTCTCTTCTGTGTCATACAGCCAGGACAGTGTGTCTGCCTTTACGTTCTTTATACACGGAATGTATGACAATGTAAAATCAAACCGGGTGAAGAATAGGGCCCACCTGGCCTGGTGAGGATTCAGCCTCCTCGCTACCCGGATGTACTCCAGGTTACGGTGGTCCGTCCAGACGAGGAAAGGGTGTTTCGCCCCTTCGAGCCAATGCCTCCACACGGTCAAAGCTCGGACAACAGCCAACAGCTCCCGATCACCAACGTCCTAGTTCTGCTCCGCTGGGCTGAGCTTCTTTGAGAAGAAAGCACAAGGGCGGAGCTTGGGTGGCGTGCCCGAGCGTTGGGATAGGACAGTGCCCATCCCTACCTCGCACGCATCCACCTCCACCACAAACGGTAGTGATGGATCGGGGTGGGCTAGTACCGGAGCTGAGGTGAACAGACCCTGCAGTCTCCTGAAGGCCAGAGCCGCCTCAGCAGACCAGCGGGGCCAGGACGGCCCACCCTTCAACAGGGATGTGATGGGAGCTGCGACTTTTCCAAAGCCCCGGATAAACCTTCGATAGTAGTTGGCAAAGCCAAGGAATCGCTGCACCTCCTTAACCGTGGTTGGAGTCGGCCAACTACGCACGGCTAAAATGCGATCTCCCTCCATCTCCACCCCTGAGGTGGAAATGCGGTATCCAAGGAAGGAGATGGACTGCTGGAAAAACACTTCTCTGCCTTAGCATAAAGGTCATTCTCCAACAGTCGGGCCAGCACCTTGCAAACCAGGGACACATGCTCAGTGTGAGTAGCGGAATACACCAGGATGTCATCGATGTAGACCACTACACCGCGACCAAGCATGTCCCGAAACACCTCGTTCACAAAGGTCTGGAAAACTGAGGGAGCATTCATCAAACCATAGGGCATCACCAGGTATTCATAATGCCCCGTGGTTGTGCTGAATGCTGTCTTCCACTCATCTCCCTCTCGGATACGCACCAGGTTGTACGCACTCCTGAGATCCAATTTGGTGAAGAAGCACGCCCCATGCATCGATTCAACCACTGAAGGAATGAGGGGGAGAGGATAACTAAATCTGATTGTCTCCCAGTTCAGTGGTCGATAATCAATGTACGGGCGCAGACCTCCGCACTTCTTCACAAAGAAGAAACTCGAGGAGGTGGGTGAAGTGGAGGGACATATGTCCCTGGCGCAGGGACTCGCTGACATATGTCTCCATAGCCACTGTTTCCGCCTGTGACGGGGTATATATGACTCCTGGGAGGTACAGCGTCTACCCTGAGGTTTATCGGGCTATCCCCCGCCCGGTGAGGTGGTAACTTAGTCACCTGCGTTTTAGAGAACGCTTACGCCAGATTGCGGTATTCGGGGGGAATGCACACGGTGGAGGTACTATCTGGACTTTCCACCGTGGTTGCACCAACGGAAACATCTAGACACCTACCCTGACACTCACGCAACCACCCCGTGAGAGCCCTCTGCGGCCATGAGAAGGTGGGGTTGTGGAGTGCTAACCAAAGGATACCTAATGTGACAGGGAAAGCAGGAGATTCAATAATCGAAAATATCACCTGCTCAAAATGATTCTCCTGGGTGATCATGGTGACTGGTATAGTGACTTCCGTAACAAATCTGGACCCTAATGGTCGACTATCGAGTGCTCTGAGGGGACGTGGAATGGAAATGGAATCAATGAAATGCCTATCCATAAAGTACCCAGCTGCGCCTGAATCGA